TTTTGCCTTTTCTACTAAGGCTACCATTTTGTCCTACACAAATAGATTAGTACTTACATATGCATTTTGAGTAGTTTCGTTGGTCCAAGCTTTTGTCGGATGACAATGTGTCGCGTAAAAAAGCTCAAAGGGGCTCAAATATGTCCCATCTTCTTTTTTCTATATCATCATATTATTAACAATAATGAGAGGCAAAACATATAACATACTACTACAAATTACAAGTTCATACCTTATCTTCTCGATGCGAGAGAAATGATTTCGGTCCAACCCGATGATTAAATGAGAGTTTACTTTTACTTGCTTTATGTTTTGCTGATTTTGCCTACAGAAACAACATAAATATATCATTAATTCTATACACGAATAATAATAACATTCAATTATTAGTTACCTTCCATGCAATAGTCTCCCATTTATTACATAGCATGTTCCAATCATTTTGTTGAATTCTTCCATATGGGCGCGTCGAGCCATTGTTGGATCTTCAAATCCACGATAGTATCTATGTAAAAGGCATCGATAGTCTTTGTGGCGCGTCCCTATCTCATACTTGATACATACCACATGATGAGAAATAGTGACGTCGACCTCAAATTTATTCTACACGTAAATAATTAAAATTAAGGAAATATCACATTCTTGTTAAATGACTATACGATAAATAGAATAATGTTATTATAACTATATACCAACAAATGTTGAATAATGTCATTATAAACATTTTCTGGGATGTCCTTTTTCTTCTATATTTCTAATGGGACATTCCAACGTGTCAAACGACCAATTTCACTGTTGAATAGACTGGCCAGATACCCAACAGGTTTGCCTGCTTCTGCAGTCCACGAAATTGGTATGACGCAACTATCAGCTTGTCTAAGACCACTCCTCGAGATTCTCTACGAACCCCTGGTTCTCCATTAGAGTCGTTATCTGACGACATTGTTCCTACAAAATTTAAAACAAAAATTATCACACTTATACTACTTTATCACTATTATATTGCATAACATTGAAATGATCTTTCATATACCAATCAATCGCTTTCTTCCTCATCGTCTTCGTCCGATGATGTTTTATCATCTTCCCATTCTTCCTCATCTTCATCTTCTTCCTCCTCAAATATGTCTTCATCTATTTCCTCATCAAAATCTAATACTATCTCTAGACTATCATTATTGTCGGAAATTACAATCGGTTCTATATCGTCTCTATGAAATGTATGTGTTTCGAGATCCACTTCTTCAACTTCACACTGATTTATAACTTGTTCTTGTAAGTCAACTTATTCTACCTCAGGTACATCCCATAAATGTCTATGTTCAACATTCTGAACTACTTTCCATTCACTACCTAACTTGAGATCTTCAACATAAAATACTTGTTGTGCTTGGGAGACAAGTATGAATGGTTCGTACTTATACCACAAATAACGTGTGTCTATTCTCGTAAAATATGGTCCTGACGAATACGATTATTCTTAGAATTCATATCATACCAATCACACTTGAATAATAAAACTCGTTTTCTATTAATGTAGCTCAATTCGATAACTTCTTTAATAACACCGTAGAAATCAGATAACTCAGTGTTATGTCCACCCATAACATAGACTCCATTATTTTGTGTTGTGCATCGATCATCTCGATCTATCGAGTTAAATCAAACTCCATTCGTAATACACCCATTATACGAACGAATTCGAATATCAAGGCCACATGATAGTGTATTCAACTCATGCACAACAACATCCGAGTTTGAAGAAGGTTGGGATCTCATCTACAAACATATTTTACAAGATCAAAAGTCAAAGAAATATTGTACCGTACTAAATAGTTCCTATAGAAAATTTTCATATAGTAAAACTCACTTTTCTTTTGAACTATTCTGGAAATAGTACTTCATGCAACCTGGCTAAATTACCATTGTGTTCTCGTTGTAACTCTAATTCGTGTTCTCTGTGATACGATATCAATAATCAATCATCTTTGAAATAGATTTGTCCAATTTGAGTACGAGAAAGTTCGTACCATCTATATGGATCCACTGCTTCACAATTGGATAGAACATACCAATGCGCCATTAGCAGCTCAGAAGGCGATAAATTCCTTCAGTTGTGGACCACCGATTGGACGTGCATTTTGTGAGAATACAGGAAGATATACCTTTGAAATTCCTTCAGTTGTGGACCACCGATTGGACGTGCATTTTGTGAGAATACAGGAAGATATACCTTTGAGTCTCTTAGGTCCACCATGTCATCATCTCGAACGGGCCTATTGGATTTCGTTTCGATTCCATCGATGTACATTGAGCAAAATTTCAATGCTTCATTCGCAATGATAGCTTCTGCTATAGAACCTTCAGGCCGAGCTTTATTTTTCACATATTGTTTCAATGTCCTCAAACTCCTATGAGCATATTTGATATTAATTAGTTATATCACTAAATATCCTTTGTAACTAAAGATATAAATAAAGGTGTATACCACTCAATCGGATACATCCAGCTATAACCGACAGGTCCTACTAGTTTCGCTTCTTCAGGCAAGTGAATAACTAGATGAACCATAACATCGAAAAACGCTGGAGGGAATATTCTCTCAAATTTGCATAGAATCAATACAATTGCATCATGCAACTTATTCAACGTCTCAACTTTCAATGTCTTTGCAGTCAATTCTTTGAAGAAATTTGACAATTCAGCCATAGCCCCACTAACATCATTGGGCAAAAATGGACGAACCCCAACTGGTAAAAACCTCTGTAGCAACACATGAGAGTCGTGACTTTTCAGACCATATATTTTTCCGTCTTTACCGCTGACACATCTCGATATGTTCGATGCAAAACTATCAGGGAATTTGACGGTTTTCAAAAAGCTACAAAACTTCTTTCTCTCATTTGTTGTTAAACTGTAGCTAGCATGCAGTTTCAACAATTTGTTTCCGACTTGTTGGAGATGTAATTCTTTACGTATGTCCAACTTTATTAAATCCTTACGTGCTTTATCGGTGTCCTTTGTTTTCCCTTCAATATTTAATAATGTGCACATGACATTATCACTAATATTCTTCTCAATGTGCATGACATCCAGTTTGTGTCGAATTTTGAGACTTGACCAATATGATAACTCAAACAATATGCTTCTCTTCACCCAATTAAATTCATTATGAAGTCCTTCTCGTTTCCACTGTAAAACGTTGATAGTTTTTCCGAATGGTGGAAAAAAAATGGAGTCTAATTGGTGGACGACATCCAATCCAGAAAAATGTCGTGGTGCAACTCTATTTTCTGTTTTTCCATTATATTGTTTACTTTTTTGCCAAGGATGACTCTGTGGTAAGAATCGACGATGCCCCATGTAGCATATCTTACTATGCAATTTGTCTGATGTACTGTCCACATTACATACTGGGCATGCCTTATATCCTTCACAGTCCCAGACTATTTACGATCTTCAGAAGCTCCACTAAAGCAAGCTCTGCTAGCTTGACTCTGAGACCACTTGTTGAATGAATTAGCGCAGCTCTGATACCACTTGTTGAATGAATTAGCACAAAAGGAAATAGACAATCAGTTGAAGAAAGAAACTTTTATTTAGAAAGTATGAATATGAACGCTCTTTCATGGAAGACTCTCTCACACTTTCTAACTTTTCTCTCTTTCTTCACTCACTTCACTTGGTTCACTCTCATCACTCTATTCAATTGATTATGGAGACATCCCTCCTATTTATAGGAGGAAAAAGATCCCAATAGATACATTTTTCTGGATCCTTCTTGTAACTCACATGTTCTAGATACTTCTAATTAATTTATTATTATCCAAAGGAATTCTCTAGAATCCTTTGGAGCCTAAAGAAAAGCTAAGATATTTCTAGATCCTTTTCTTTATATATTTATTTACAATCTTCTAGAGAAAACTTATTTTGTGTAGATACTTCAAGAAGCTTCTAGACATAGTTGGTGTTGTATTTTATTTTAACAAAACCTTGTGAAAAATTTCAACTCAGCAAGGCACACTATTAATTGGTGTGTATAAACAACGTCGTCCTTTGGTCTTCAAATATTACACGTGGTGGAATATATTTCATTAATAATGGAGGAATTAGAATAGAAACCATGAAATAGTATATGCCAAATGCAATAGTTGGGTGCCAAGAATGATGACTCGTACAAAGATCCTAGGAAAAATTTCATTTCTAGATGAAAATTAGGTCATCGGGAGATCTTTCAGACTTAAACATGGTTAAATTTTTCTTTTGTTATATATTTTGAACTAGAAGCTTATATTGATTAAAAAATGACAACTCCCATGAAGATATATTCCATAACCAAATTTCTTTACTCTAGGGAGAGTTGTCATTGGTGTCTATTTGGAGAAACAATCCCTAAAACAGTATGCAGGAGCTAAATTCTAGTGTTCTTTTGTTGATGGTTGTATTTTGGTATTCAAGTAGTAAAGTTGATAACTATTTCACACAGGTTTTGAAAATTAAAATAGTGTTCATTGTGAGATTATTGTTGTTTTATATTTGTTTGAAGAGATGTGTGTGAAAGTTTAATGTGTGAGAAAATGTACCTATTATTATCTATCTTTATGTGTTTATATATTGATTTATTATGTCAAAGCTTTTCTTTGCCCCAGAATATGCCAGGCGCTGTTTCTCTTTCTTTTGGAGTCATTTTATGCAATTTTATGTTATTTCGTTTAGAGTAGAGTTAGTAAAACAACACTTGAATATATTTTATTTTATATTGTTGGTATTATTAGGCAGAAACATGAGATTTAACACTTAGTCCATGTGGATTTCGACCTTGTTTGTACTACAATCGGCAAGAATATTATACACTTGCACTTGCATTCACATTGGTTGTGGACACACAACAAGATTTTGGCACCATTGCAGGGGATTCGCCATTTTATTTTAAGTGTTGGTGTTTCAGAATGCAGTGCTGAAATTTTTTTCTCTCTCTTGTGTTCTTGATTCTATTGAAGGTGCTTGAACAACTTTGAAAGCTTGGAGTACATAATTGATCACACAATGGAGCAGACTTTTCATAGAAGAAGAAATGAGCAGATAATGGTCCAAGCTGAAGAAAACATGAATCCATCACAGAATCCAAGAAATGGGAGAGTAGAGTAAATGGAACCCTGTGGCTACTGTTCCAACAGCAGCCGCTCCCCTACTCAATGTTATACTATGAGCAGACGAAACAAACATTGAGATAAGAGCTTATGCAGCTCCAGCATTCTACAATTTTAATCCAGTCATCATGGAGCCTGAAATCGAAGTAGACAGATTTGAGCTGAAGCTAGTGATTAATTTAGCTCAAAGGTTAGTAGGGATCAAAACACAAACTGAGACAACAATCGTTACTAATTTTCTTGAGCTCTACAGTAGGCTAAAATCTAATTTTAAAAGGCACGAAAGACTATTACAGAAGACCTAAGGTTAGGTCTATACATGGAAGAAAAGAACTCGACGGTAACAAACATAAATGCATAAAATGAGGTAATAACAGAAATGGTGAAAGGGGAAAAGATGGCATCTTTCTACTACCGCAATTAAGTAAGTTAATTGCTGTGATGTTGGGGATTTGATTGACAGGTAATGGCAATAATTGAAGGGCTGCTGTTACTGCTGTTATTGCAAAGATTGCAAACGTATTGCCTTCAATTATTGTTGGTAGTGAGGTACTAATATGCGGCCATGAGAATACTGAGTTGGCAGATTCTACTGAGTTGGTTGATGTTGTTGACTGGGAAGATCAAACCTGGTTGGTTGTTTAATATCGTTGCTCAAACTGGTGGTAGTGGTAGAACGAACGTCAAGTTTACTTCTTAGACCCTTGAACACAACCTTTGTTAGTGGCTTGGTAAGGATGTCGGCGATTTGATGAGTAGAAGAAACGTATTTGGTGATGAGAGATCCGAGAGCTACTTTTTCACGAACAAAGTGGTAGTCCATCTCTATGTGCTTCGTTCTTGCATGGAAGACTAGGTTTATGGACATGTGGAGAGCACTCATGTTATCACAGTATTGTTGGGGCGTTTGAAGTAAAGGAACTCCAATGTCTCGAAGAATGAAGCTAATCCATGTCAGTTCTGCCGTTGTGCTGGCCATGACCCTATATTCTGCTTCGGAGCTGGATCTTGCCACGGTGGGTTGCTTTTTTATGACCAAGAGATGCAGTTGGATCCAAGGAATATGCAGAATTCTATGGTACTTCGCCTGGTTACGTGACACCCTCCCCAATCTGCATCACAAAAATCGTATAAGTTAAGAGAACTATGTTTATAGAGAGTAATACCATAGGCTATTGTACCTTGGACATAGCGAAGGATTCTTTTGACAGCTTTGAAGTTCTTAGTGACTGGTTGTTGAAGGTGTTGGTATAGTCGATTTACTGCTTGTACTATGTCAGGACGAGTAAGACTGAGATATTGTAAGGCTCTTACAATGCTTCTGTACTGTTTAGTATCTGTAGGTTGCATGTCAGTTGGACATTCTTGAGTTGAAGTTGCCATAGGTGTGCTTATGGCAAAGGCTCTTGACATTTTGGTTTTTACAATAAGGTCCCGAGCGTATTTCTCTTGAGAGAGCATGATTCCTTTAGAGGTGGACTTGACTTCAATGCCAAGGAAGTAGTGTAGGGAACCTAGATTCTTCAAAGATAATTCTGAGCCAAGCGTTTGTATAAGGTGTTGAATTTGGCAGTTATCATTTCCTATAAGAATAATGTCGTCAACATACTCTAGCATAAGTGTTAGTATAGATCCATTTTTGTAGATAAATAAAGAGGGGTCTGATGTACAACAAGTGAAGCCAATATGGAGAGAAATCAGCTAATCTATCAAACCATGCTCTGGGTGCTTGTTTTAACACATACATGGATTTTTGGAGTTCATACAAGAGCAGTTTTATAAGGAGGAGAGGTTTTAGGATAGACAAAACCTGGTGGTTGTTCCATGTATACATCCTCCTTTAGAATTCCATGAAGGCAAGCGTTTTTCACATCCAATTGGCGTAAGGGCCAACTTACACTTGTTGCTAGGGATAGAATGAACCTGATAGTTGTTGGCTTTACCATTGGGCTGTATGTTTCTTCGTAATCCAACCATTCCATTTAAGTGTATCATTGAGCTACCAAGCATGCCTTGTATCGATTTATTGTTCCATCTTCCTTGTACTTTGTCTTAAATATCCATTTGGACCCAACCACATTAGTGTCTAATGGTCTGAGCACAAGTTTCCACGTGTCATTTTGTAAGAAGGCTTGGATTTCCTCTTCCATAGCTGTTTTCCATTGAGAAGAGTTAGTGCCATCTTATAGTTTTTTTATTCTGATTGTTCTGTCACAGTAACAAGGGCATGACTTTACTGTTCCCTCAAGGATTGGACCTCCTATGCAAGAGTTGGATCAAGAGCGGGATCCTTGTTTAGCTTGGTTCTTATGATCATATGATGTCTTAGAGACTGATATGTTGTTTTGTCACGAGACATGGGTTGGACAGCAACTTTGTCAACTTGTTCTTCTGGTGGTAAGGTTGGACCTGTAGATATAAGAGGCAAATCAATGAAAAGATGATTGCTAATATTAGGAAGAGTATTATACTTAGAAGTAGGCAAATCTGTGTTTTGAGGAGTAGTGTTCAATGTTGGCAATTCGTGGTCTTGATCCGTTATTTGTTGTTGTGTAAGACTTTGGTCTTCTGCATTGTCAATCATGTCTCCTGATGATGAAATTTTTCCTGTAGAAACAATAGATAAATCAATAAGGAGGTAATTGTTTGTATCAGAAATGTCATGATAGTTTGAATAATCAATATAGGCAATGTTGAAGTAAACTTTGTGTGTTGGGAAGAAATGTTAAGTATTGGAAACTTGAGAGCTTGGTCTACTGCATTAGTCTGCTGCATTGGCTCAGGTTGAGTTGGTGAGGATATCATTTGTTCAAGTTGAGTTTGTTGCTCATGTTGCAATATATTTTTCACCCTTGATTCAATCATATCAGTAGGCTTAGAGTGTTGTATTTCTATTGCCTGGGAGTTGGATGGACTGATTATTTCCATATGCATTCTTGAATTCTCCATTGCATCAATTTTATTGTCATAATCATAGAGTAGCTCCATACTTGGTAGATTGTCCTCCTTGTCCATTGTGCCTACAAAATCAGAAACAACTAAAGGAAAGGTGCTATTGGTGGAGATGTTAGTTGATAGTTTATCATAAGTAAAGAAACTTTCATAAAAAACATGTTTTGATATATATACTCGGTTGTTTGTAGGATCTAGGCATCGATATCTTTTATGAACCATGCTATAGCAGATAAAAACACAAGGATAAGTACGTTTGCTGAACTTATTCTTATTGGGATTGTTTCCTAGATAAGAGAAACATCTACATCCAAATATCCTGAGATTGTTATAGCTAGGTTCCTTGCTAAATAGCTTCTGAAAGGGTGAGTTCATGCTTAGAATCTTAGAGGGTATCTGATTAATGAGATAGACAGCAGTAAGAAAAGCATCCACCCAATATTTTAGAGGCATATGAGATTCAAACAAAAGTGGGAGGTCAGTTTAAACTATATGACGATGTTTCCTTTCAACTACTCCATTTTGTTGAGGAGTGTAAGGAAATGAAAATTGATGATGAATGCCACTTTGTTCCAAAATATTTTTAAAGGTAGTGGATTGAAATTCACCCCACCATCACTTTGAAAAACTTTTATCCTTTGTTCAAATTGATTTTCCAAAAGAAGTTTGAATTCGATAAAACAAGATAAGAACTCTGATTTTTTTTTTTCAAAGGATAAATCCAAACATATTGTGAGTAATCATTAATAAAAGTAACATAATATTTAAAATGTTGACAAGACGAGATTGAGGCCGGTCCCCATAAATCACAATGAATCTTATCTAGAGGCTTCAAAGCATGAGATTTAGTGGAATTAAAAGGTAACTTACAACTTTTTCCTAATTGGCAACTAACACATACTAATTGTTCCTTTGCCCAACAAGTAACATTGATCAGTTGTTTATCAGCAAGAGTTTTCAATAAATGATCATTCAAGTGGCCTAGTCTCTTATGCCACACAACAGAAGAAGTTTTATTTAAGGCGGTAGTAACAGTAAAGGCTGTAGAAGTGGTTTGGCATATGGTTACAGCTTTCCCAACTTATATAGTCCTTGTTTTTCATATCTTTCAGCTAGAGTTAACCTTTGTAGATCCTTAACAACAAACTTGTTAGCATTAAAAGTTATGGAGCAATTATTATCCTTTGTTAATTTGCTGACAGACAATAAATTTTTCTTCGTTGCAGGGACAACTAAAACATTATTTAGAGCAAGGTGACCTTTAAGAGTTTTGAAAGTAGTGTGTTCTGTGTGAGTAATGTGTAGACCCTTATTCAGCATCATTATAAGGGTGTAAAAATTGAATTTTACTTGGATCGTTTACCACATGAAAGGTTGTCCAGAGTCGGTATAGATATTTTCATTAGCAACTTCGTTCAAAGTTAAGGCAGCAAGAGCTTCAAGTATTTCTTCAAATTGGTAAGCATGGTGAAATCTATTCCAACATTCTAGTGCGGTGTGATTGTTCTTATCACATATCTGACATGTCACTTGTTTTTCCTGTTTGAAACCTATTCTTCCATTTGAATGTTGATGATTATTGTTTACCTTTTATACGATAGTTCCTTGTTGATAGCTTGTCTGGGTTTTAGGCTGTTTACTATGATAAAAGCCTCTTCCCATATCTGACATATCACTTGTTTTTCCTGTTTGAAACCATGCACAGTAAGTTTTCTGATTGGGCCATGACAATGACAGATTATTGAAGGATGGATCTTTAGTCTTTCCGTGCCTACTCTGATACCATAAAAGATTTAGCTCAAAGGTTAGGAGGGATCAGACACAAACTGAGATAACAATCATTACTAATTTTCTTGAGCTTTACAGTAGGCTAAAATCTAATTTTAAATGACACGAAAGACTATTACAAAAAACCCAAGGTTAGGTATATACATGGAAGAAAAGAACTCAACGGTAACAAACATAAATGCATAAATGAGGTAATAACAAATATGGTGAAAGGGGGAAAGATGACATCTTTCTACTACAGCAATTAAGGAAGTTAATTGCAGTTAATTGCTGTGATGTTGGGGATTTGATTGACAGGTAATGCCAATAATTGAGGGGCTGCTATTATTGCAAAGATTGCAAATGTTTTGCCTTCATTTATTGTTGGTAGTGAGGTACTGATATGAGGCCATGAGAATACTGAGTTGGCAGATTCTGCTGAGTTGGTTGACGTTGTTGACGGGGAAGATCAAGCCTGGTTGGTTGTTTAATATGATGTTTCAAATGCTGCAAACGATGAGTCAATTTCACGGTCATCTAACCGAAGACCCATACTTGCATTTGAGATTCTTTATAGTGGTGCGTGACTTGTTCAAGGTTGAGAGAATATCGAAAGTGGTGTCGCAATTATAGTTATTCCCCTATTCACTTAGAGACGAAGCACAAACATGGTTGGATTCGCTACCATCAAAGTCAAATCACAAGTTGGAACGATTTGGCAGAAAAATTCCTGATGAAGTATTTCTCACCCAACAAAAATACAAAGTTCCAAAGTGAGATCAATAATTTCCAACAATTTGTTGGGGAATCTGTTAGTAAATCCTAGGAGCGGTTTAAAAGACTGTTACAAAAGTGCCCACATCGTGGAATTCCAAGGTGCATCCATATTGAGACTTACTATAATGGGTTAAATGATGCTACGATGTTAGTCATTGATTTGTCTGCTAATGTAGGGCTTAATTCTGCCCAAACTTTAGGCAAAAGCATTTGACATTTTGGAATGGATATCATCAAACAATCACTAATGGTCTGATCCATAAGCTATTCAAGGAAACAGAACCAAGGGATTGAATGATGCTGATGCCTTCTCAGCAATAAACTCCAAGATCGAGAACCTGGCCGACTTAGTAATGAGGAGCACGTCACAATAGACTGTAGTGGGAACATTTGCTGCTAAGGAAAATTTGAGCCACACCTAAGGGATTTCTTGCTCATATTTCGAAGGAGAGCATCATTTCAATGATTATCCTGGAAACCCAGAATCAGTATATTACTTGGAAAATTCGTAGAACAACCAAAAACCCTTACTCCAATACATTTAACCTAGGGTGGAGAAACCATCCAAATTTTAGCTGGGGTGGAAACCACGGAGGGAATAATGTAGAAGCTTCGAATGCCCCAACATATCAGCAGAAATGAAATTACCCACTTGGTTTTGCAAATCAAGGTCAGCCATTGGCTCAACGGCAGACAGAAGGAACTTTACTTCCCTGGAAAATTTAATTAATGCATACATGGCAAAGAATGATGCAACGGTACAGAGTCAAACCGCATCCTTGCGTAACTTAGAAATTTAGATGGGACAGCTAGCCACAAATCCAAAAAATATACCGCATGGATCGTTACCAATTGATATAGAACCCTTAAGGAGGGACGGTAAGGAGCAATGTAAGACTCTTACTTTGAGAATTGGAAAGTGTTGGGTGTGTTGCCCTAAACTCGTAGTTTGTATTTTCTAAAAACAAATATCTATTTAATAACGTTTTATTCAATAAATTTGTTGTTGAATCATAGCTTTGCATTGTCCAAAATCCAATAAACTAAACATCCAAGGTTATTAATGTAATCGGGACAGTATATATACTGGGTATATATTTGATATACGGGGTATATATATGAATGGATAATATCCCGTGAATAACCTAAAGGGTCTATAGTATATGGATAAGGCTGGGTACCTTATCCTAGCAACACTATGGATATGGCCCGCTCTGTAAAGGTTACAGACGACTCGATCCAGGTCGTTCGTGTGGAGACATGCGAGTGGGGGTATCCTATACAATGAGTTTGTATAAGACCGGACCGCGAAATAGGCAATCTTTAGATGTAACACCGTTAACTAATAGATTGCCATTTCTTAGGATGACCTGTCAACTCATTCTCAATCTTGAGTGAGTTATGGACTCCTGCCCGTGAGGGCTCGTCCTTTGATCTGTATGGGTGAGAGTGGCTCGAGTAGCCGACTCAACATTCCTACCATTTTGGGGACGAGACCGAGTGGGGAGCTGGGAACATAACTTCACAAGATGAAATTCACTCCTCCCCAACTTTAGGGGAGTAGATGAGTGTTCCCTTAAATGCTGACTCCGGGACTTGAACAAGAGGCCCCACGCTCTCATTGACCGAGAGGGATTTCCGGTTATTGGTTGGACCATAACCGGGTTGTTCATTAGAGGAGCAGTGATGTTTAAGGAGTAAGATGTAACTCAGGGGTAAAACGGTAATTTGACCCAACTTGAGTTACGAGCACTCGTGAAGGATTGACTCGTCATTAATGGTTGTATATCCATGGACACGAAAACATTCTGCAGTGAGAAGAGTGCAACTGCGGGTCTTTAGTGGAATGACTCGTAGTTAACGAATCTTGATTAACTCGGTCAATGAGTTTGACTAATTAATCTTGCATCGTTGGAGCTTCTGATCTATAGGTCCATTAGGTCCCCTTGCTAGCTCATAACGGGTAAAACGAGGATCAAGTTTTTGGAAGAATTTGAATTGTTCAAATTTCTTAAGGGATTATATGTATATTGATACATTATAATATATAGTTAATTCAAAATTGAAACTATATATTATGAGAGAAATTATTTGAATGTGATTCAAATAAAATTAATATGAATAAGATTCATATTAAAACTATAGGTTAAAAATAATGTGCATAAGATGTACATTAGAACTATAGGTTATACGAGAGAATTGCTTTAGAATATGATTCTATTTTGATAATAAATAATTAAGTGTTAATTATTTATTTAATTAAGATATATATTTAATTGATTATTAATTAGATTAATAATTAATTGATTAATATTAATTAATAAGATTAATTAATTAAATATATATATTAATTATTATTAATTAATAATATTATTTTATATTATTATTAATAATAAATCACTCCCTGCAAAAATGCAGGGGAGTGGGAAGTTGCATATGACGTGGGGAGTTACCCCACGTCATATTTCCCTCTGTTCGTTCCTTCTGCAGTGGGTTCTGCATAGTACAGAAAGAAAAAATCCCAAGCATTGTTCAATCTCTCTCAAGGTCTCTCTCAACCCTCCCTGACATTCAAAACAAAACGCTCCCACAAGCGTGTTCTCGAAACCCAAGAGGATAGCAAGGAAGACTCAGTGGTGCTGTTCGGGTGGAAATCGTTGAAGAAAAGTTCTTCAAAGGTAATAGCATTCCTCTGTATTTTCCTTCTTTGCAAATTGATTTTGTTTCTCAAATGTCACGAACAACGGTCCGCTTCCGCTCCGGGATTCGCATCCCTTCAGAAAGGCCTTACCTCCTGCCCATCCAAATGCTCCATGAAACCATGATAAATTAAATCAAGATGAAGGAAATAGGCTACGAACAGAAGAAGAATGCGAGCCAGATGAAGTAGTGATAACTCTTCAAAAGAGAGTTATTTTAGTGAATATAATTGGGTTAATTCGTGCATTAATGTGAGAATTTTTATCTAAGAAGCATGCTAAAGTGAGGAATTAAGCGGAAAAGTTAATTATCATATGCTAAATACTTAAGTTGCTGAATTTATGCAAATTCCTACTTGTTTCTCCTATTTTTGGTTTATTTGTGCAGAATTTAGAGAAGTTGCTGAGGAGCAGTAGAATGACAGAATTATAGGAGAAATGTCGGAGCATTGTTGTGCCAAAGCATGTCAATGCTGGAGCATCACTTGCTGTAGAAATTCCTTGCAGTGCAGAAACACGCGAGATTTTCACTTATGTCCGTATAATGCTCGTTTTACTGAGTTTTGCCCTAATTTTGGAGGGTGCTATAAAAGCAACATGATAAGGTTGTCTCACCATCATTCCCCAAGGGGGAATCGATCCCAAGAGAGAAAATACTCCAAATACAGTGCTGAAGTCGAGGATAGCAGACCCATTTCAAGGAAGAGCAGACGATAGGAAGGAGCTGCTGCTGGACCTTGCGTGCTGGTGGTCTCCATCTGTGTTTTTCTCTCTTTCTTTAGAATGGGTTGTATTTTTTCTTTACTCATTTCGTTTTTCCTTTCCCCATGAACTAAACCCCATTTTTTGAGAGATTTACATGTTGTAACTAACTTGATACTGAACCTCTAGCTGTTGCATCTATTTTTAAATAAAGCTGTTTTGTATTTCTTCAATCTTGCGTGACATTGTTGACCACTCTGTCGTGTTTGCTAGCTTCTGTATTGATCCGGGAGGGCTTATGGGTGCCAATTTGCTTTATTTGTGATTAGCGCTTTTCTATTGCTTTAGGGATACACAGGAATGAGGTCCCCTAATCTTGCCTAGAGCTTGCATTTATTCCTTGGGTATTTAGCAATGGAAGTTGTACTTACTTATGTTTGAGGTGTCTCGGAAAGGAACCGAGTGGAGCTGGGCATTAATAGATGTTAGTAAGCAAGATAGTAGGTTGATAACCTGTGAAAATATGCTAAATCTCTCCCACCTTTTCGAGATCTGTTAACCTCTCATTCGCATTCAGTGCTAAAGCATTTATTTTCCCCAGCATTTGTTATTACAGGATTTCATTTATGCATTTTTAGAGTATTTTACTTAGTTTAGTTATACAACCACTTTTTATGTGTTATTTGCGTTTTTGGTATTCTTGAACGCATGTTTAAAGTAACATCCTTAGTCCTTGTGGATTCGACCTTGTTTATACTACAATCGACAAGTTTAATGTACACTTTCACTTGCATTCATCACAGTTGTGGGAACGCAACAAGTATCAATAACCATGTCAGTCGAAAAAATGACAGAATGTGAATGTGAGATCAATGGGTGCTAAAGCAGAGTGTTGGCAGAGCGATAGAGACAAGATCTCGAGGTTGTAGAGCATCGTCGGAAACCAATTCTCGTGGGTATTTGGTGAAGTTTTTTATTCTTGTTTCCTAGGATTCTATTATTGTAGTTCTTAGAGGCTAGGTGACTTTTGTTGAGGCATCTAGATTTGAGAGTATTGTATTTGCCCATTGTTTATCCCAACATCATTATAGAACTGGTTGTCGCGGAAGACTGGACGTAGCCCATAGTTAGGTGAACCAGTATAAACTCTTTTTGTCTTTTACTGCGATTTCCCTGTATCTCTTATTATTGTGGTTGATTGTGTTTTCCGTTGACGAGCTGTGGAAGGGGAAAAGTGTCTTGGTAAGTAATTTTTCCAACACAACTGTCTGTTGATCAAGCTTTTAAACATACTATAGAACAATGACTACAACTAAACTCACATGAATCACATTTCTCTTTCATGACATGGGAATACCACTACATAAACCTCCGAAGTTATTTTGCGATAATACGAATGCCATTCAAATGTCCAACAATCCAGTTCTCCATGCTCGTACCAAACACATAGAACTATAACTTTGTACCCGAGAAGCTAAGGTAGCACTTGGATCATTAGTCATTCGATATGTGTCATCTTATTCAACAAGTTGCAGATATCATCACCAAGCCCCTTACCAGCGCAACTTTTCAAGACTTATCAAACAAACAAGAGAGTTCACAAAATCTCTGCCCCAAGTTTGAGAAATGATGTAAAATAACAAGACCCTCATTAAACTTAATGATAGCAGAAAGTCAAGAACATCGTTCAACTCAATGACTGCAGAAAATTATTTTGATAAACATGATAGTAAACTTTCCAAAACTAGTCTCCCACATTTTTCTTAAAACAGCAACATCTCTTCTTGATTATGTTCAAGGAGATATGGAACAAAACCGGAACAAAACCTACCATCAATCACCAGATTATTAGTGATTGATTGCACCTCAGTCAAATATCTCCAATTTCTTATCCTTGAAAATATTATCGTAGTTGTCTTTAGGAAATATAGCAGATTTTTTCTGTGGAAAGATCATGCCAATTATGACTAATTATTGGCATGCTTTCATTCTTTTTTACTTTCCCTTAGTACTAGTTAAATTGTACAAACTTTTGTATAATTGATAGGTTGAAGGTTTATGATTCTTGAATGTGTGTAAATAGTTGAGATTATACAAAAAGTTTCAGTCCGATTATGTACGAAGTACCAAGAATTTCTACTCATATACCAAATTCTTTATGATTCAGCTAATTCCCCTAAGGTAATTGATCATTTCATGTGAATCCTATTGCACTTTCAAATAACTTTCAAGTTCCTACCACCAAATATTTGACTACGAAAAATTTATTATAACATTTTCTGTTACACTATGAAAAGTTTTTATAGCAGTAAAATCATGCAATTGAAAGTAGACTTTCTATAACGTTTTGTCTAGCGAACAAACACGATGAAAAGTTAATCCATAACAAGGCCTACCACCGCGTTCCAAAAACGCTATGGAAAGTCAGTGATAGCTTTTTCCTGATACTATTGAATGTGATATTATATGAGATAAAAAGAGATTTTTTTTATTGTGTAAGGTAAATTAGGATGATAAGTTTTAAAGAAAATGATATAATTTAAAATAAATGTTTAAATAAAAGAATATTTAAAGTTTTAATAAAAAAAAAACTCAAGGTTTGAATAAAAATAAAAATAATATTAAAATAAAAAAAGTTTTCAAATCCTCAACCATTTTGAAATTAATAAACAAAGAAAGCATAAATTCCTTAGAGAACTCCCATGATGGAGATTGGAAAGATATTCTTCCAATATTTTTGAAGTTTTAAATTTCTTTAATGGCTTCTGTACGACACTTGTTATAGTTCTAGTTAATGCCTTCCATAAACGTAGATTGATTCCTGAACCAAAATCTATTTTTTTACAGTATTTGTTTAGGTGACCAATCACATCTCGTACATGGTTGATGGCGACTCCAAATCTAGTCACTTGAAAGAGTCCCTTTACTGTTGAATTCATTTAAGTTAAGCTCACATTACTTAAATATCATGCATAAACAACTACCTAAGTGAAGTGGTAGACGATCAAGTGGTAGATGATTAATTGAGATGCTACCTCCCAATAATTACCTAATCTTAGGTATAGTAAGTTGAGCTACTACACCTTGTCTTACTTGTCATATGGTAAGACTAGTGAATTGGTATGATTCTGATAGATTTCTTGTAATAATTCGAAGGTATATCACCCAGGAATGAATGAACTACAGATTTTATAGGTCAATAATTCTCAAATATCAACTGCCTCTCCTGAATGTAAGTTAATTCTTCTTACTAATTAAGAAACCAATATCCCCATCTAGTTTCTATAACAAATAAAAACTTTATTGAATAAGTCTAAATCTCCCGATCTTAAAACCCTTTTTGTTATGCATCTTAGTTCTAACTCTAAACCACCTCTCCCGTCCCTAAGATTTCAAGTATAACATCAATCAATCTATGAMTAGTAGATTAAAGGCATTAAGCATTAAATGTAGAGAATTAAACAATCAATCTATAAAGTTCCATGGCTACATCAATCCCTAAGACAAAGTAACTTAACTACTCATATTCAATATAAAACAACAAAGTCTCAAAGAAAATTCCATAACAAACTATAAAAGTCAAGAGAAAAGAAATAAAACTAAATCCATTGTGTTGATTGTGAAGAGATCTCAAGTTAAAAGAATGATTTATCAAATAAGGAAGTAATGCAAAATAAGCAACAGTACAATTTTGACTTACTACAACAGTAGAAATCTTGCCCATTTTTAGCTTATTCAAGATACAGCTCATCCCCAACTCAACGACAAATTGTTGTCAACATTAATGAGAATTATTTCCTTTAATTCCTCATTATTCTTTAATTCTTTCCTTGTGTATTTGAATATGTATATTGTTTCAATCTTTTCCTTTTTTAGAGTTTTTGTTCAGACCCTATTTCTATAGGTTTGTAATGCTGGAAAAGTATAGAAATGAGAATTACTCTTTGAGTGACAAATCCAAAATTTCTTTATGGTATTAGAGCACAAAGGATTTAGATGTCTAGACTCATCCTCTAATAGGGTTTATATTTCTAGACATGTCATTTTTGATGAAGATGTGTTTCCATTTTCACCTAACTATACACACACATCAAGCACAAATTGTTTAAATGTTATTGAGTTTTCGCAACTTGAAGAATGGCATACATGCCAGCAACCTGATCAAGATGTTAAAGAACCAAGGAAAAATACACCAATAAAAAGTTCCGGTGAAATGGCCATCAAATTTTGTGATCTTGAAGGATGCCAAAGAACTGAGGTGCAAGAACAGCAAGCTCCTCCTACATATATGAAAGAACAGCCGGCTTCTCTTGCTACTGACCATCATAATACACATAATTTCCAAGATAATGAAGTTGCTGTTATTGTCAAGGAACCAAATACCATACAATCTAAAGAAGTTGCTACCAATATGGATAAAAAAAATGGTGAGCAAATAGCTATAATTGAGGAAGGACCCTTTGAGGAAGGAGCCACTATCGAGGAAGGAAGTCAAACCAATCAAACTAATTCACCAAGTCAGAATTGCAGAAATCAGCAACAAATTCGTCAACCAAATGAGCTTTCTAAAACTCAAAACTCTCTTGAACTTCTCACTTTACCTTAAAATTGTCTTAAACCTTCTGCTTTACCTGATATCAGTGAATTTCTGCATGTTGGTCTGCCTTTATCTTATGCAGGTTTGCCTGAACTAAATCAAGATCGCAATGAGAGCATCAATAAACCATGACCACTCCCTCAACAAACATTCTATGATCACTCGTGGAAAACTAGCTAAAAATCCCAACTTAGGCCTCCCACTTCTCCAACTAGTTAAATCGTTAAAATCTTCCAAAAAAACATTTATCCCTCGTAACCACCTCTGAAATAGCTGAACCCAAAAGCTACAAAACAGCCCTTAAAATACCACATTGGCATCTTGCTATGAAAGGAGAAATGATTGCTCATGAAGCAAACCACACATGGGATCTAGTGCCTAAGCCTCCAAACACAAATATCGTAGGATCAAAATGGATTTTCAAAACCAAACTCAAAGAAGATGGAACAGTGAATCGGTAAAAGGCAAGATTAGTTGCCCAAGAGTACTCTCAAGTTGAAGGAATGGACAATGAAGAGACATTTAGTCCAGTGGTCAAACCCACCACGGTCAGAATTGTATTGGCTATTGCAACGACTTTAGGATGGCATCTACGATAGCTAGATGTTGAGAATGCCTTCCTTCATGGACACCTCAAGGAAACAGTTTACATGGCTCAACCTGCTGGATTCCACAACGCTCAAATGCCGCATCATGTTTGCAAGCTGAATCGTTCCATATATGGCCTCAAACAAGCTCCTAGAGCTTGGTTTGATAGGCTATCCACATGCCTCCTAAACTTTGGATTTCACTGCTATCATTCTGACCCATCTCTATTTATTTTTAAGGAAAACTCTACTCTTTTACTCATGCTAATATATGTTGATGATATTATTTTGATAGGAACAAATGCAATCATAATGCAACATCTAATTACAAAATTGGGATTGGAATTTGCACTTAAAGACCTTGGAGCTCTACACTATTTCCTTGACATTGAAGTCCACTCCACTCCACAAGGAAGAATGCTTACTCAAAGCAAGTACACCAAAGATGTTCTCCTCAAAGCAAATATGTTGTATGCATCACACTTCACCCTTATGGCACTCTCATCCACATCGAGTCCAAATGATGGTGATTTAGTAGATGCCACCACATACCGTAGCATTGTAGGGTCGCTCCAGTACCTTACACTCACTCGCCCTGACATTGTTTATGCAGTCAACAAAGTGTGTCAACACATGCAAACTACAACCATCAATAACTTCAGGGATGTTAAAAGAATTTTGCGTTACCTTAAAGGCACCCTCTCACATGGTATCACATTTCACAAGAATAGCAACCTTAACCTTTATGCCTTTTGTGATGCAGATTGGGGCGGTTGTCCTTCAACTAGACGAAGTACTACAGGATATTGCATATTCCTTGAAGCAAATTGCATCTCTTGGAGCTCTAAGAAACAACCAACTATAGCTCGATCAAGTACTGAAGCAGAATATCGTGCAATGGCTAACACCACAGCGGAACTCACATGGCTTACATTTCTCTTCAGAGATATTGGCATACCTCTACATCGGCCACCTCACTATTTTGTAACAACCTAAGTGCCCTACACATGACAGTTAATCCAGTGTTTCATGCTAGAACAAAGCATGACGAACTAGAATATCATTTTGTAAGAGAAGATGTTGCCCTTGAAACTTAGATAACACGGTTCATTCCCTTTCACAGACAACTTGCTGATATCTTCACTAAACCGCTTGCAAAAGAACCCTTTCGAAATTTGAGAGGCAAACTAGAAGTCCAACAAGTTTCAAACTCCAGTTTGAGGAAGGATGAAGAGACCTTAAATTAAAAGAATGATTTATCAAATAAGGAAGCAATGTAAAATCAGCAACGGTACAGTTTTGACTTATTACGGTAGTAGAAATCTTGCCCATTTTTAGTTAATTCGAGATACAACTCATCCCCAACTCAAGGACAAATTGCTGTCAACATTAATGAGGATTATGTCGTTTAATTCTTCATTATTCTTTAATTATTTCCTTGTGTATTTGAATATGTATATTGTTTCAATCTTTTCGTTTTTTAGAGTTTTTGTTCATACCATATTTCTATAGGTTTGTAATGTTGGAAAAGTACATAAATGAGAATTACTCTTTCAGTGACAAATCCAAAATTTCTTTAGATTGATCGTCCCCAACTCAATCTTCATGAATCCAAGCCTTGAAAATCCCTTCTCTAAGCTCTTTGATTGTTCATTTTCCCTCACTTTTTGAGTTATTACATCTCTCCCAAAAGTCGCTAAAAGTTCCTCTGAAGCAGCTGAGAAACCTAATTTTATAAGAAAATTATCATGACAGCGCCATAAGTAAGCATTATGGGATAGGAAAAAGTGGGGAAGAAAAAATATTCGGAGCACCGTGGCGCTCGCCTCTCGGGCCAAAATTGCCACTTTCTATTTTTTCGACTGCACGTGTCATGATGCATTTTCTGGTGCCCTGATGCTATTCTCTTGGGTATTTGGCCGCCAATAAGTGTTGTAATATATTCTTTAATCGTTCGGACTATTAGTTTCCTCTCAATTCGATCCATTTATGTCTCGCTTCCTCATGATTATTTATTTCTACAAATATATCTTATATGCATAAATGTGTCGTAAACAAACAAAAACTAACGAACAATTTCAATATAAATTTCATGAAATGTAGCGCACTCTGAGTAAAATGTTACAAGTGCAAACAAAGTTCTAAGATGAAATATAATATATATGTGAGAACAATTTTCTCCATTGTTATAAAATCTTTTTAGTGAAACCAAAAACGAGTTGAAGAGGTCCAGCGCATACCTTTTTGTGGAAAATGGACTTATATCAATTCATTTATTGGTAATTGTTGATGCGTGGATTATGCTCTTCTCGAGGTTCGCACCAAGCTTGATTATCATGGACTCGAAGACCTTCAAAATCGAACAAGGCTAGACCAGTGTGACACTTGTCACATGTGCTCCGATGCCTAAGTTAGCAAGGGGGAGCGGTAGAGTAATAGAATTCAATGGTCGAATTCGGCTTACTTTAGGGTTAGGCTATATGACGTATTTACAATCGCTTGGAAGGTTTCCAGAACCTTCTACATGAGCCCTAGATGATTGTTGTGAAGGCCCAATGATTCGTAGACAACAGAAGAGGGAAGATGCCGGACTCCGCTCGGCTCGACCATCTCGTTGATTCTCTTTGTTCCCTTGGCTTGTTTGTTTGTGGTTTTCATTTATATAACAATAGCCCCCACTCTCAAAGTAGTTTGCATAAAGCATGTCAGGGCTTCTATATTTGGAGTATTTGTTGCTCAGTCGTTCTATGAGTCACTGTTTTTGTAGAACAACGCTCGTACAATCTCGTCTGGGTCGATTGTCATTTCACGGGTTGGCCTTTTTAGCCTCATACCCTTTTTGCCATAGTCGATCGTCGTCAAGCCTGTTGGGCTTCGTCATACTGTTAATTTTAACTGTTTAGGTCCTTTGTGATACAACTTTTAGCTGGGGCTAGCTGTACCCGATTGGGTTAACCTGTTTGGATTTTGCCCAGGGTTTTATATCTAGGGTTCCCTCTTGGGTTTCCAACCTATTTGGCTTTTGTCAATTGCTTCATACCGTGAGTCCAGTCGATACCCTTTTGTCGCTGTCAATTATCGTTTCTTGGGCTGGCTATCATAGCCCCCATTTCTTTCATTGTAGTCGATTGCAATCAAGTCTCTTAGGCACTTCTATACGGTTAGTTTCTATCGTTTAGATTTTAGCCTTGGGATTTAACTTCTCAGCAGAGCCAGTGGTACTCCTTTTGGGTTTCTTAACCTGTTTGGCTTTTGCCCATGCTTTATGCCTCAGGGTTCACTCTCGAGTTTCTAACCTATTTTACTTTTGCCAATGGTTTTTGTACTCTGAGTTTAGTCGGCACCTTTGGGTTTCTAACATATTTGGCTTCTGCCGGTTTTTAACTCGAGTTCAATCAACACTCTCGGGTTTCTAACCTATTCTGGCTTTTGCCAAATGGATTTCTACCCATGGGTTTTATTGACCGATTTAGGCTTGCCTGCTTTTTGTTTTGACCTTGCTGGGCCTATACGCCTGCCTTTTTCAACACCTTGGGATTTTCTTCACTGGTTTTACTGATCGGCTTCTAACTTATCGACCTGCTTCTAGGTCTGTCCCAACCCGAGTTCCTTGACCATAGTTACTCACTGGCCCCCACTTGAGGAGGTTTTGTTTAAGGTATCAAATGAAAACTTTCTCAAGTACCTCAAGTCTTGTCGTTCTCTCTATGTCGCTTTCTTCTATCTGCTTGTGTCGAGCACAAATTTTTGGAAACCGGGTCAGCTTTCCAGGCAGTTCCTGTACCACGTACTGCTGACTTTTGCTGTCGTGTAGTTATTGGATCTGGTAAGTGGAAGAGACCTGGTCGGTAGAAGATACCTGGTCGGCAGAATACGCCTGGTCGGCACAATAGACCTGGTCGGTGGAATAGGTCTGGTAAGCAAAATAAGCCTGGTCGACAGTAGATACCTGGTTGGTAGAAGACATCTGGTCGGCAGAGACTTGCTCGGCCGAGACCTGGTCATGCCCTGGATCTGGTCATGCCTTGGATCCGTCATACCCCAGAGTCTAGTCATGACCAGTTATGTAGTTCACTCGTCAGGTCTTTGCAATAGCTTTGCTTTTCGTGGGACTCAGACGGGTGTAGGTTGCCCTTTTTTTATTGTTCGAGTTTTTCAAAAGGAGGGTTGTGTTCTTGATACATTCCCTTGACTTTTCACAGCAGACAGCTTGTCTTTTGGATGTCTTAGAACTTCATCAAGTTGCTTTCTCCAGTATGGGATTTGTTGATCGTTTCTTCCGGAACCTATTTTGGAATCGGTCGATTTATCTCATCCAGGATCTGTCCTGGAACTTGTCGATCTACTTGCTCTAGGTCCTACCCCAGAACTCATAAACTTGCTTTGCCCTAGACCTCATCGGGTTTGAACAGTTCTTCTTCTTCTTATAGGTTGACTTATCTTACCCAGGATCCGTCATAGAAATTGTTGATTTGTTCGTTCTGGGCACCTAAAATTTGTTGATTTGCTTTTCCCACGTCTATCTCAGAAAAGGGGGGCCCCCAAAACCCATGTCGATTTGTTTGTCTCTGGATCCCCTCATATCCGAGTAGTTCTCGATTAATTCGTTGCTCTCCTGATGTTAAAGAGATCAATTCTAAATCTTCAGCAGTTTTTTCCTTATCTCGAGTGGGTGATTCCATGCGATGACTAAGGCTCGGGTCAGCCTTTTCATCGCGGTCGATTGTGTCATTACCTGAGGGTATCAAACCGACTACGTGATCTAATCTCATCCTTCTGGTGGTTAAGTGGTCATCCACTGAAGACATTGAACTACTGGCGTGATATGTTCTCACTTCACCATCAAAACCTCGTCGTCCATCCTCGTTGATTTGATTAGGATTCTGGGCATGTTGCTCTCCCTGTCTTGAAACTCACGGGCTTATCTCCTTTGTAATTGCATCGCGTAAGACCCGTCTTCGGTTCATCCCTCTTCTCGAATGACAATCGTAGTCGGAATACCGTTGACCAACTGTGGATTAGCTTACCCATACCCTCACTTGAGGAGGTTTTGTTTGGGCATCAAACAAATAATTTTCTCAAGTATAACGTAGGAAATAATTAATTTACCTCTAATTTGAACATCATAGTAGAATAAACAACATGCTTAACTTTATTTAACATTTCATCACCTTCAACCATCCCGAGCAAGAATAACTCTCGGTTTACCATTCTCTTCGGATGACAATCATCGTCGAAACGTTGTTGATCTCTCAAGAGTTCATATTGTTGGCTTCTAGATCTTATTTGGGGGAAATGATAAGAGCCTTTTGGACATGCCTTATTTAGGTCAGTGAAGTCGATGCACATTCTCTATTTGCCATTGGGCTTATTTACCAGCACGACGTTGGATATCCACTGGGGGTAATGCACCTTTTGAATGAACCCTGCTTTTAGTAGATCATTTACTTGCTCAGCCACGATCTCGTTCCTTTCTTGGGTGAAGGCACGACACTTCTGTTTTACTGGTCTACAGCTCTTGTGGACGTTGAGTCGATGTACCATGACTTCCTAATTAATTCCTGGCATGTCTTCATGCGGACTATGCGAACTCCACCTCCTCGACCGGTTCTCCCATTCTGAGGGCAGACGGATCTTAGTGGATGAGCAGGGCTTGGGTATATCTCTCCTGAGTGGTCGATTGCCCTGCTC